TTTGTTGGGATGCCCCCGGGTATCCTCCGTTGCTGGAGTGCTGTGTGATGTGGTGGAAAGTGAAGTATGGTCCCCCCGGGGCTGACTCCCTGGCTGGAGTAGGCGTGAGTGCCTGTTGTGTGGGTAAGCTCCATGACTTTCTTTTCGGATCAATGGCAGACACTGGAGGGGCCGTTTGTGCATCCCTCAGTGGAGATGGGCAAGTAGCTCTTTCCCTTTCCCTTTGCTCCAAGGTTTTCGCTCCCCCTCCGACCCCCTGTAAGCTCCGGAGTCTGCGGATCAGAGAAGTCTCGCCTAGAGCGAGTTGGTCGATGTCCGACGCGGAACACGACCGTTGTCCAGGGCAAAACCTCGTAGCGAGAGGACCTGTGTCCTGACACAGAACGGGACCCATGTATGCCAGGCCCGTATTGCCGAGCCCAAAACCGGGGCACCCACAAAGTAGTTGTCTAGGTTCCCTTAGGATGTGAGGTAGATGAAGGCAGTCTGTCCGGATGCAACCGGTCAAGTCTAGGAGTAAGTTGGCGCCCCCAACGAAGTTCAGCTGGACTTCTCCCTGTCGAAGTGGACGGTGTGGTGCGATAAGAAAGGAGAAAGTCAGCCAACCTGTGATGCCAGTCCCCGTAGGTGAGTCTCTTCTCTTCAAGGCGTCCTTTGCGATGCGCACCATGCGTTCAGCCATACCGTTGGTGGACGGGTGAAAAGGCGCAGACGTGGCATGACGAATCAGGTTTGCCTGTAAGAAAGCTTGGAATTCGGAGGAGGTGAATTGAGGGCCGGTGTCGGACACAAGGACATCTGGCAGCCCGTGTGCAGCAAAAATCCCCCTCAGTACCTGAATAGTCTTTGCAGTGGTGGTGGATGAGACAGGCACAACCTCAAGCCATTTTGAATGGCTGTCAACAAGGACCAAGAAGAACTGGTCCTGAAAGGGCCCAGCGTAGTCAATGTGCACCCTAGACCATGGGGACTGTGTTTCCTCCCATCTATGCACAGGAGCTTGGGGCATCTCTGGGCGAGATCGTTGGCACAGGTGGCATGCGTGTACCTTAGCCTCAATACCTTTATCTAAACCAGGCCACCACAAGTGGCTTCGTGCAAGAGCCTTCATACTAACAATGCCAGGATGACCCTCGTGGAGGGATTCTAAGACCCTAGTCCTCATTGAGGTGGGAATGACAACTCTGTTTCCCAAAGCAGACAACCCTGAGAAAGGGACAGTTCGTTCCTTTTGGACCAGAAACTCTGAAACTCAGGACTAGGGCAGTGCTCAGGCCACCCGGACAGGACCCAGGAGCGGATACGTGAAAGTGTGTGATCTGTACCTGTTTCAGCGGTAACATCCCTGGCATTAAGAGGGAGCTCGGGCAAGGCTTGGATTGATAGAATGTTGACAGCTGCGCGGGGTCACTTCTACTACTGGCAGAGGCAACCTACTGAGGCAAGCAGCATGGCCTTTCTTTCCCAGGCTTGTGGAATTATGAAAAATCATATGCAGACAAAAAAATAGACCACCTAAGCATTCTAAGGGAAATGATGTGGGGAGTCTGCTTACGTGTGGTAAACAGTCCCAGCAGAGGCTTATGGTCAGTGAAGACCGTGAAATGCCTGCCATATAGGAAATCGTGGAATTTTTTAATTCCAGCAACAACAGCCAGAGCCTCCCTGTCTATCTGAGCATAGTTGCGCTCAGCAGAAGACAGTGTTCTGGAGTAGTATGCAATAGGAACCTGAGTTCCATCAGACCTGAGGTGACTCAGGACAGCTCCAACCCCGTAGGGGGACGCATCACAAGCGATGCACACAGGAAGAGACTCGTTGACATGTGCAAGAACACTGTTAGAAGTGAGCAAGGCCTTGACTTCTTTAAAGCAAGCCTCATGTGCTTGTGACCACAGCCACACAGCATGTTTGTTTAGTAGCCTGTGAAGAGGCTCAGCTACACTAGCCTTATGTGGAAGAAAAGAATTTTAGAAATTCAGGAGGCCTAGAATGCTGAAGTTGTCCTTAGACTTTGGCCTGGGGGCTTCTAAAATAGCGTTAGTTTTTGGATTCAGCAGGATGAAATCCAGCATCATCAATTTTGAATCCCAGAAATTCAGTAGAAGGGCACCCCATCTGTCTTTGTCCTTTTCTTGAGCTTGGACCTGATTTCCTGAATTCTTAACAGGACAGGCCTAAGCCTTTCCAGCTAGAATGTGTGTGGAGTCTCCTGCAATCAAGACATCGTCAAAGTAGGGGCAGACCCCTGGTATACCTCGTAGTGTGTTTTCCATTACGCTTTGGAAAATCCCAGGAACGACATTCACTCCAAACTGTAGCCTTTTTACCTTAAAAGCTCCCCTGTGGGTCACAATGGTCTGAGCTATAGCAGCATCATCATCAACAGGCAGCTGTTGATATGCTTGAGCTAGGTCAAGCTTTGCAAAAACACACCCCCCCCTTGAGAGAGGCCAAGATGTGACTGACCACAGGAACAGGATAGGCATGTTGCTGCAATGCCTTATTGAGTGTGCATTTGTAATCAGCACAAATGCGAATGTCCCCATTTGCCTTTAGAGGCGTGACAATGGGGGTCTCCCACGGGCTGGAATCAACAGGTTCTAGGATTCCCTGTTGGATTATTTTGTCTAATTCAGTGTCAATCTTACTTTTTAAAGCAAAAGGGACCCTTCTTGCTTTAATCCTAATGGGAGTGACAGTGGGGTCCCTAGCTTTAAGGACAACCAGTGGTCCTTTGATGTTGTCCCCATCTTGTGTGCTGAAAACATCTGCAATTCCTTGCAGGACTTCCTGTAGGTCCGAGTGTTTGTAAGCTGTTGAGTCCTGTAACGTGGTTATCCCCAGCGGGCCTTCAAAACCATCTCGTCCTATGAGACTAGTTCGTTTCACCCCCTACTAACTAATAGTCTAGTGGACCTTCAAAGCTCTTGTATTGCACGTTAAGGGTGGCCTCCCCCCTTAACACTCACCTCTTGAGTTTCTGAAAATCTGTTAATACATATCAGAAGGCTTAACTTGGCCTTAGACCCACTACTGAACAAAAATCTTTTCCTCTAATATGTATGCAATGAAAGATGATGGACAGTGCCAGACCCTGTGTCTGTTCCTAGATAATGGAACCCCTTGTAGCTTCACGTTGAGTGACATCTTTTTCTTCATGGCTGTGTGTGCCTGTTCTACAGATGCTTCTTCGCGAAGCGCAAAACCCTACCCTATTCTGGCTGGGGAATCTGGTACCTTTCAGGCGTTCTTCTTTGGGTTGTGCCTTTCGTCGGCTCAGACACACAGCTGCAATATGCCCTTGTTTGCCGCATGCCCGGCAGGTAGCGGAGCGGAACTTGCAGTCGGTTCTCCTGTGGCGACCTCCACAGCCTATGCACTTGAGCGGAGCTGAAGAGCTTTCCTTCTGATTTTCTCCCTTCGCGGGGTGTAGACGGTCGACTTCTTCGTCCGGATCCTCCTCGGAGTTTCTTCGGAACGTTCTTCCTGTGTGCACGAACATGCACCCGCTGCACTGTTTCTGATCGCCGCTATGTTTTTGATGGCGCCGCTGGTCTGCTTCTTCTGCGTGCTTTCCTTAAGAGGTCCTTGGAAGGGATAATTCTTCCTTGGCAAAAAGTCTCTGTTTGTATCTCTCGTGCCCTTAACCCGCACGACGATCGGTCCCTCATTGTCGTTCCTCCGGGTCCTTGAACTCGCAGGGCTTGCGGCCTTCGTAGCGCGGCGATGAATTCCTTGGGCTGTTTTCACCGACCGTTGTCCCTCTGCTCGAGGTGTGGCGCCATGGATAACGACACCCTTGGGTGGAAGTTCTATTCAGCAGCTTCTTCAGGTCTGCGTATCTTACAACTCTACTGGAAACAGGTGCTACAAGATTTTTCTGCGATTTCGAAGGCGTCTTGGCCGCAAATGCAAAGCAGGGTGGCAGCCTTCAAGCTATCTTCCGTCACTTGGTTTGCCTTGAAGTAGTTCTCCATTCTGGATACGTAGGACTCCCACCGCTCTGGATGTGAGATGTCGAATTCCGAAAGCCTTCCGATTTTCGCCATCTTCGGATCTTCAGGAACGGGTCTATCAGCCAGCCTACCCCCGAATGCGCACCGGATTGGCGGGCAGCTGCCGAGTCGACGCCGTTCCTCTTCCGCCGCTCAGGACTCCTTGTGTAAGCTTACACTTCTTCCTTTCCAGGTAGTGCAAGGCATCCCATCCTCGTCGCCAGTGTTGCGTCCTTGGCGGGAAAACAGACACGAGAAGCAGCTGGAGTTGCTCAGTTTTCTTTTATTCAGCTTTCAGCTTACAGAAGATGACTTCGCCGCGCCCAACACCTCGGACCTCTTATATAGGCAACGTCCCGGTAAATGGGTTCCTTTTCCGCCCAGCACGCCGCGACATGCGCAAGCCGGCGCTGCGACAGCCTGTCTGGTCCCGGGCAGCTTTGCACCTGCCCGGGACTGCCTGCAAACGCCCGAGCCGTTTGCAAAGGCTCGGGACATAACAATTAGCAGATGAGATAAATTTCCCTGGATATGTTTGCTGCATTTATTTTTGCTTTACCTTGCTACTGCATCTTAAAATAGTTCTTAGAGCAGCCAGTAATGAAAAAAAAACCAGTTAAAACAAATGACGGGCTAAAACTATAACATACAGTATTAGGAATGATCAGCAATGTGGGTCGTTGTTATCTAGCAACTGACTCATTTAGCAACCATTTGCAGTGTTGATGAAAAAGTAATGTTGTGACCAAGGTCGGGTTTACGACCTTCACAGGTATGCAAAACGAAGGAAAGCTGAAGTATATCCATAAGTTTAGTCACAGGCTTACTTAGCAACTGCTTCACTTAACAAACAAGTTGCTGCTCCCAATTGTAGTCACAACTGAGGACTGCCTGTAATCTAGATGTTAAACCGCCACCCCCTCCTCAATTTTACTCCAGATAAAAAAGTAATTTCATTACATTTAGTCAAAGGCTGCGAGACAAAATGAAAAAGACTTCCAGTCAGGATTCCTGCTTCAAGCATAGTCCTTTATGGTCGTGTCTTATTGTTTTTCTCTTGAGAAGGAATGGGGCGCCATATGTTTCCATCCACTCTGTGGAACAGCACTTCCATGATCAGCAGGAATTATAACAGCACCTAAAGCAGACAAGACACATTGTCCTGGTCAACAGCCAGAAAATAATCAGAGACTCTCATTCTCTCTGTCTCTCATACACACATACGTACACACCACATACACCACACACACACACAATCACTTTCAACTGAACACTGAGGTGCAAGGTTTTTTGGAATACATGGAAACTCAGTGAATTTACTGATTATAATGTACAGTTGCTCTTTATCTCACACACATCCACACTTAATGTACATTTACGCTCTCTCTCTCTCTCTCATACACACACACACACACACTTAGCCACACTTACCCACGTTCTTCTCAACTAGGCTGCCAGGCACTAAGTAGTCAGAGGGATGGAAGCTGCCAAGTCTGGATCCAAAAATGACTCAAATGACTCAAGAAGTGGGCGGGTTTCAGTACCGCATTTTATTCCCTAAAGTTCTTTCTTTGTTGATTAGCTAGGATCCCCCCCCCCATGTGTTAAGGCCCTGCTTTTTTTGTCTGGTTCAGGTGATATTTTTCCTTTATTTCCTTAACAATTTGTTTCCTTCTTAGCTACTTCCCTGAAGGGATATTTTAGCAAGATTCTTGTTTATGTGCCAGCTTCATCTTTTCTTATGGCAGTTTCAGCCTAATCTCCTACCACCAAGAACAATGCTAGGAGGTGTAAGGAGCTGGTATATTTGGAAGATAACAAATCCCTCATTCCTGCCAAAGAAACTTGGATATACCTGTCACCCAAGGGTAGAAAAACATATTTTACTGAAATTCTGTTTTCCTCACAGTCTTTAAATATACAAGATCCTTGTTCTCTTTAAAACATACCTATTTTATGCCCAGATTAAATTCCTCTTTGGTGAAAAAAGCATCCATATATATATATATGGATGCTCACTAAGATTTATTTAAAGCAGGAGTATGATGGGCATATTGATGACAAGGTACTCCATTCATGCCTTTGGGATGTCTATATTAGTAAATCACCTCAGTTTAATCCCTGATAGATGAAAGCAGTTTTTAGCAGTAACAACCTATATATATTTTGCATGTTCTACTTTGTCATTGTCATACTTACAGCGAAAATGCATTAAAATGTCACCTTTGAAAAT